ACCTAATATACAGTTGTTAGTATCTATGTACACCACATAATTACTACGGTGAACTTTACATTTTTGTTTTCAAAGAAGTCTGGTGATTTAGTTTTTGTAGATTTTCAATATTTGTTATTCTGGTATATTTTAGCAATCTTTTTTCTATTGTTATGCCAATAAACTATTGTTTTTTTAGATCTCTAAAACTCAGCTCTTTGCACAATGATAGAATACAGATAATAAAAGCAAACTTGCTCTCTACACAAGAAACAATGATTGCACATAGTAGACCTAGAAATTGTTTCTTCTCTTCCTATAAAAATGCGTTTCTTTGTTTTTTTAACCTGTTTTCTTTTGACGGTAAACCGGTCTGATTATTTTTCAGTCCAACCTGAAAATACAAAGCTCACTTCTGACTCCATAGAAAAAATTCTACCAACTTCAACAGAGAACCCGTGAGTTGTCTGAGGGTGGGCTGAGACTGTATGTGTGCCCATGTATATGTGACTATGTATATAATCTCTCTTGTTTTCTTTTGATAAAGATTAAATACAAACAAAAAGAAAACTATGGTTAACTTTTGATTAGTTAATTCTAAGTTCACTCCAAAAAGCCTCAGTACCCAGAGGTTAAGCACTCAGTGGCTGACTAAAAGGTTGGTGGTTTGAACACCCCCACTAATTGTGAGAAAAAGACCTAGTGGTCTGTTCCCATGAAGATATAGCCTAGAACACCTTATGGAAAAAACCCTCAAAGCCCTATGCTATGGGGCAGTTCTGTGCTGTCACACAGGGTTGCTATGAATCGAAAACCAGTCAACAATTTTACTCCATATAAAATCAAGTGAATTAATGCACTTAATAAGAGCAATAAAAAGTTTCCTTCAATTTAGTAATTTTATATTTACAAAAATTATAATATTTATAGTTAAATTGTGTATTACTCTAACTCCCTTTCTAATATGTAAACCGTGAAAGCAGAGTTTTTGAACAATCTGCCTGTACATCTCATTTTAGTTTAGCCCTGCTACCACCTGTACTTAGGCAACAGGAAAAAGGGAAATGATACTGTATATTATTGGGTGGAAATACTTATAACATTTTCATACCACTAAATGAAAGCAGGTTTCATGCTCCCTTCATATCCCATGTAAACTTTCTCAGTTCATAGCAGGTTTCCAAGTAAAGTGACATAAAGAGCTGATATAAGCACAAGAGAATTGAAAACTTAAGTTCACACAAAAATCTGCAAATGGATATTCATAATGTATGACTTATAATAGCCTCAAAGTGGGGAAAAAGCCAAATGTCCATCAAGTGATGAAGAGATACACAAAATTTACAATGGAATATTACTCCGTCACAAACACACCCGCTATACGTTGAAAACATCAGGTTAAGGGAAAGAAGCAAACGCGAAAGGCCACACAGCTGATTCTGTGCAGCAAAAGCAAATACTTAGACTCACGACCACTGAGTCGATTAGGACTCATAGCAACTTTCTAGGACAGAGCAGAAACAATCAGCCGCAGTGGGTGTCCAAGACTTTTAAGTCTTTACAGGGGTAGAAGCCTCATCTTTCTCCTGTGGGGCGGCTGGTGGAATTATAGAGTAGTGACAGTGGTACAACCTTGTGCATATACTAAAACCCAACAAATTACATCCTTTTTTTGTTCTGTCATTTTAGGCAAGCTGTCAAAATATTTAAAAAAAATCATAACCCGAGACTGACTTAAAAAAAAGAGAATCTTAAGGTAATAAAAAGAATTTGACAAAAACAAAAATACGTATATACTCAAGTATAAGCCGACCCAAATATCAGCCGAGACACTCAATTAAAAAAAAAATTTTTCTTCGGTGCTCGTACAACTCATCACAATCCATACATACTTCAATTGTGTCAAACACATTTGTACATTTGTTGCCATCATCATTCTCAAAACATTTTCTTTCTGCTTGAGCCCCTGGTATCAGCTCATTTTCTCCCCTCTCTCCCTGTTCCTCCCCTTCCTCATGAACCCTTGATAATTTATAAATTATTATTATTTTGTCATATCTTACATTGCCCGATGTCTCCCTTCACCCACTTTTCTGTTGTCCATCCCCCAGGGAGGGGGTTATATGTAGATCCTTGTAATCTGTTCCCCCTTTCTCCCTCACCTTCCCTCCACCCTCCCGGTATTGCCACTCTCACCACTGGTCCTGAGGGTTCATCTGTCCTGGATTCCCTGTGTTCTAAGTTCCATCTGTACCAGAGTACATCCTCCGGTCCAGCCGGATTTGTAAGGTAGAACTGGGATCATGATGGCGGGGAAGGAAGCATTTAAGAACTAGAGGAAAGTTGTATGTTTCATCGTTGCTACACTGCACCCTGACTGGCTTGTCTCCTCCCCATGACCCTTCCATAAGGGGATGTCCAGTTGCCTACTGATGGACTTTGGGTCCCCACTCCATACTCCCGCTCATTCATAATGATATGATTTTTTGTTCTTTGATGCCTGATACGAGGCAACTAATTTATCACAAAAACTCCATTAAAAATGTGCTGACAAACTCGGCTTATACACGAGTATATATGGTAACTTTGTTTTAGGAAAAAACCAAATATGCTATTGTTAGAAAAAGAACCTTTTTAATTAATGAATTATTCATCTTGGTTATCTACATTAAATACGTTCTCCAATTTTCTTTATCTATCCTCACAGCAAATGTAACAGAATCATCAAAAGGCATTTTCTTATGACTGTTCAGTAGTTTTGCACAATTTTCAAATACTTGCAGAGTGTTTATCAAATGATAACAAAATGTGTTCTTCTAAAGCAGCCCTCAGGATATTTCATCAGAGCTGAGAGGAAGGCAGTCTCACACTTGTAACCACTATCTTTGAAGCCTTTATACATTGAACTGTTTTATGAATATTCGATAGCCTCTGAAGTGTTACTGTACCTGTGTACTGCAATCACAGAAGTAAAAAGTCTAGGACTTCCAGGAACCACGTTTGTAAATATAAATTCAAAACAGGTACTGTTACATTTTGTTAGTATGTAAAGAGCTTCCGTTTGGCCTCGCAGTTTCTGTAGGGACAAATGTAAGTATGAGTTCCTACTCCTAATAAATTCTCACAGTAAAAATATGAACACTAACCTCAAGTGTCTACGATTTACTATTCATATATTTCAGAAAGACTTTTCAGACTTACAGAGTTAGCAGTCCTTGTTGTAATATTCGATATGCAGTTGTAACCAATAGCTAAAATTCAAAAGCAAAGAATTTTAAACACATGATACAGTAAATGGAGAAAAGGTTGTTTTCTACACATCGCATATATAACGAGCTTTACAGCTTTAAAAAGTAAACATATATGAAAACAACTTTTAAAAAAGTTTGCAAAAATAATTGCAAATTTAAGGTAAATAATTAAAAGAACTAGAGTCGGTTCTGCCTCCTGGAATAACAAAGACATCCATTATCTGGGATATGAGAAGCTTGCTTCTCTAAAACCTACACATAATTATCATTTTTTATACCTAATTATTTATTGAAAATCTCAACACCACTGTGTCAAAAGAAAAAGTGTAGGTAATCTAAAATACTTCAAAAAATTAAGTGAAATATCATTTAATACAATAAATTTTTTTAGCTCTTTTAAAAAAATCATTTTATTGGGGGTTCATACAACTCTTAATACAATCCACACATACATCAACTGTAACACAATAAATCTGATGAGAATTTAGATTATCCTTCTTTGGGGTTTTAGGTATTTCAGATTTGTGATGCATGCCTAGCTATGAGGAGCTGCACATGACTGTTTTCTTGTTGCTGTTTGGTGGTACCTTTTATCATTAGTAATATGTGCTACATACAATGTTGAGGAATGTAATTTGCTGATGTCATAATTTTCAGATGTCCATAATTTTTTTATGAACATTGCTATATATCAGGGTATTGCTTGGTCTACAATGAAGTCAGTGGTTGGGACTTGTAGCAGATAAGAGCTGGGTAATGTTCAGTTCTTAACAACCTACTACAATTGAACTATGCTTGTGGTAAGACTCATTGTTATTTCAACTTCATTGCTACAATACTGAATTTATTATAGACCAGGCCTATAAAACAAATCAAATTCATTGCCATTGAGTCGAGTCCAACTCTAGCAACCTGCTAGGTCAGGGGAGAATGGTCCTCATGGGTTTCTGAGACTGTAACTCCCAGTAGAAAGCCTTGTCTTTCTCCCACAGAGCAGCTAGGGGTTTTGAACTGTTGACCTTACTGTTAGCAGCCCAATGCGTAACCACTACAACATCAGGGCTCCCAGTCCACCTCTACAGTGTGGTCTTATTGTTTCCTACTATAAGCAGCATCCGTTTTTCATCTGAAATGAAGTATTCGAGTTATGTCTGCAGTAACTTGAGACAAGTTTTGGAACAGAACTCCATTATAAATTGGGGACGAGCTGCATACATCAATAATAAGCAAAAAACCCAAAACAGGACAAAAATGAAACATACAAAAAACACCAACAAAACCCCAAACTTATTCACAATAAAAGCCTTAATCTTATAGACAATGCAAATGACTGAAAAGCAGTATATAATATTTCTTTTACATTATGATTTAGCCTCTGATTACTGTGATTTTTGAAGTTTTTAAAGGTTTTCATACTTAAGACATATCCTTTGGTCAAGTGTTTTTTTGTATAAAAGTCATCGTGCAAGTACAACAGGTCACTTGACAAAGGAATTATCTTCTTTCAGAGTTAACTAACAAAGATACTTACAAAGATTGATTCTGGGTAATGCCAAAGAGTGCCAGATGATTCTTAAATTTGTCACCAAGAGTCTGCCTACAAACAAACAAAAAACAAGTCACCATCAGCAAAACTACTTTTACAATATACTACGATGGGCTCTTATGTCTATTAGTAATGGAGGCAGTGGAGTGGGCATGGGAGTTTAGAATTGGGATCAGAGGAGAATGCAAAGTTTTAGAAAGGGCACAAAGTGATTCAAGCAGTTGAGGAACCCGCATAGGCAGTTTGGTTTATGACTTACTAACCATGTGACTTGGGAAAGAGAAGCTCCTTGGTTTCCTCATTTGAAAACCAAAGGTACTAAGACAATCTACTTGATATTTTTTGTTTTTATGATTAATAGTGTTAAATAAGATTATACATATAAATCATAGAATACTGATTGACAAATACTAAATACAGGCAGTCCTGGACTTAGGGCATATTGAGTTAAACCAGTCTTAGGACTGAACTTGTTTTTGCCCCCTACATCTTATCATTAGTAACAGCAACATGTAATTTGCTGATGTTATCATTCTCAAACCCCAAAGACAAAGATCAGATTTATAAAGATGTTAATAAGGTACAGTAATAAAAAAGTAAGTTTTTCACTTACATTCTCACTCTCATTGCCATTGAGTCAGTTCTGACTCACAGCAACCTGATAGGACAGGGTCGAACTGCCCCTGTGGGTTTCTGAGACTAACTCTTTATGGGAGTAGAAAGCCTTCTCTTTCTCCCAAGGAGAGGGTGGTGGTTTCAACTGCTGACCTTGTGGTGAGCAGCTCAACATATAACCACTATTCCAACTGGTTAACAATAAAACCATCAAAATATAACCCATTCTAAGTCAGGGAATGTCTTCAAAATGTTAATTGCTCTTATGTTTCTTAATATTTTTAATTTCTTACGAACTCTATGACCTATTTTGTTATTGTAAATATATTGGTTTATGTAACAATATTGTCATTTCACCTAGGCAAACATTAGTCTCTGTAAAGGCTATAATGAGCCTGCTTATAGACAAGGACATCTATTGATTCTTTTATTTTATCTATTAAGGATCTCAGAAGAATGACAGTAAGAAAAGTTTGTCATATAAATCCACTGACCAACTCTGGCTCTCTCTTTTGTGTTTTGGGCACATCTGCAAGTCTCCAGGCTTTGTATACTGTCCAACCCAGGGTCCTTTCCTCTCTTGCCCAACCATCAAAACAGAGCTGCTTCCTCTACATGCTGAGGTGTAGCTGCTCCATTTTCTTTTAGGACTTCAGCGCACGAGGCTAATCTGATAATTTCATGTTGGAGTATTTACAGTTGAAAAGGATTAAAAGTGCTAATCTTCTGGGATATTTATAGTTTTAACCAGGGTCTCCTGAGCAGGCAATGCCTGAATTTGGTTCTTTTCAAACTGCTGGAAGGGAAGGAGAGAGGTGGCTGGACGGCAGGATTTCTCTTTCCTTTTCCATCAGCTTATCATCAAGAAATTCTGTGACCTCCAATAAAGCTTCCTTTGAATAAAGATTGTTATGACATATGCACGCACACAGAATTCTTTTAATTTGGGTGAGTTTAAGCAGAGTAGTGGAGTTTCTCACCAGGAAGGTTTTTTTGTTCTCCCCATCCCATAAAACAATTATAGAATCTGGCACTGAATTAATATTTGATCAATCGAAAAATGTTGTATTACCCATAATTTTTGTTTGGACTGGAAAATGGCTGTCACATCTGAGTTCTTGTCAATTATGAGACCCATCAGCCTTGTGCTGGGCTTTTTAAACATAATTCAGGTCAATTCAAGTTTATGACCGTCAGAAATACTTTGTGCCCTTTGTGAGCACAGCTCCTGGGGTTTTCAAAGTTACAGTGGATAGAGCTGATGTTTGAGCCAACACCTATTTAAAGAGAAAAGTGCCTCCATAAAGCAACAGACATAGTCTTTGTTTACATGAATCCATATGTTTGGGGGGGAGTTACTTGCAAATACCTTATCACTGATGTGTACAACTTTTCATCTGTTTATGTGTTACTCGAAGCCTGTCTGCTATCATTTATTCTTTCAACTTTAAGTGACTTAGCGTCAGAGATTCGTGCTATGATGTAAGTTATCTTTTTAAAGGAGAGCTGTTAGAAAAAGTCACTTATTATGTATTTGTTGGCTAAGCATCATTTTTTTAATACTTGAATTGTGCTATAGTAAATGAAAATTTACTGTTTTTAATTTGGATATTAAAATCACTTCAGCTTTTGTAAAACAAACAAAAATTAAAAAAATAAAGAGAAAAGTGCTCAGGAAGAACCTGTGTTCCCCAACTACAGGATTTAATACCAGCCTTGATGGTGTGGTGGTGATGAGTTGGGCTATGATTTTCAAGGTGAGCAGTTCAAAACCACCAGCTGTACCCTGGGAGAAAGATGAGGCTTTCTACTCATGTAAAGACTTACAGTCTCAGAAACTCAGATTTGCCATGAGTTGGAATTGTCTTAATGGCTGTGAGTTTTCTGTTGTTGTTTTTTTTTAAGGCCATGGTGGCATTGGGCTGCAACATCAGTTCCTCAGGAGAAAGATAGGTTTTCTGCTCCATAAAGAGTGACAATCTTGGAAACCCACAGGGGCAGTTGTACTCTGTTCTACAGGACTGCTATGAGCCAAAATTAACTCATTGGCAGTGGATCTGGGTGTAGGGTTGCTGTTGTTAAGGCCCGGGAAAAGACTTATTTTCATAAGATGTTTCATATCTTATCTTCAACTAATGCAATTTAACATTAATAAATAAGTGAGAAATATGTAGTCTATTAGAAAATGTATTCACCTCTATCCCCATTATTTCCTTTGGTATCTTCAATCGAATCTAAACAATCAATAAGGACTTCTCCGGGTCTTGTTTTCATCTGTCTAAAATAAATACAAAGGCTTTAATTATTTTATTTTTCAAAGGCTTTAATTTTAAGGCTACGACATACCTACTTAGAATCTAGTTAGGGAGAGAAGAGATATGTCTCTAGAGTAGCTAATGACACACATGGTGCCACATATCAAATGAGAGAGCATTTTGAAATAAAGTGCTCAAAAAACGTCAAGAAGCTAGAGATCAGTGAGGTCCAGGGTGACTGGGGCCACTTGGAATAAGTTAGTTCTCAAAGAAGGGGCTAGATTTAGAGAAATAAAAGGGAGAGAGAGGTGTAAGAAACTCTAAGAGCTGGCTGAAAGACTAGTTTGGTTGTGTGACTGTGGAAGATCTATACGGAGAGGTAGTGACCAGTAAGATTGGATAAGAAAGGAAGGACCTAGAAGGCCAGTCTAACAGGATAGGCTTTATCCTGTGGACAATGGATAACCCTCGAGAGGTTTCTGTTCTAAGCAGACGGAAGGAGACTAAGCAGTTAAAGAAGAAATAGGTTAAAGAAGGAAGAAGTTATTCAAGCATCAAGGCTTGGTAAACAATTTCATTTGAGACAACAGGAACAGAGTGAAGAATAGCTTCTGACTGATCAATGAATTCTAGAAGATCAAAAGCAAGCAGGATATCCAGTAGAGTCTTCCAACATACACGCTGCTTGGCCAATTTAATCATTAACTGAAAAATACAGATAGGATCCTATCATCACTTCGGCTTGGAACCCTGGTGGCATAGTGGTTAATTGTCGGGCTCCGATCCACAAGGTCAGCAGTTTAAAACCAACACATAACCAGCTGCTCCTCGGGAGAAAGATTGGGCATTCTACTCCCATGAACAGTTTCAGTCTTGGAAACTCACAGGGACAGTTCTACCCTGTAGGAGGGTCGCTAGGAGTCAAAATCAACTTGATGGCAGTGAGTTTGGTTTGGTTTCGAGCTATCACCAATGGAGGCTGGACTGCTAACCTAAAGGCCAGCGGTTCGAACCCACAAGCAGTTTGTGGGGGAAACATGTTTCAGTCAGCTTCCTTAAAGATTTCAGAGCATAAGCAAATGTGGTGAAGAAAGCTGATGGTGCCTGGCTATCAAAAGATATAGCGTCTGGGGTCTTAAAGGCTTGAAGGTAAACAAGCAGCAGCAACACTCAGCAGCAACAAAGGCCACATGGAAGAAGCACATCATCCTGTGTGATCACGAGGTGTCGATGAGATCAGATATCAGGCATCAAAGAACAAAAAAATCATATGAGGGAATGAGGGCGTGTGGAGGGGAGACCCAAAGCCCATCTGTAGCAACTGGGCATCCCCTCACATGAAAAAAATAATTAATTTATAAATTATCAAGGGTTAAAATGAGGGGGGAAATGAGGAGCTGATCCCAAGGGCTCAAGTAGAAAGAAAATGTTTTTGAAAATGATGACAACAAATGTACAAATGTGCTTAACAAAATTGGATGGATGTACAGACTGATAGGAGTTGTATGAGCCTCCAATAAAATGATTTTTTTTAAAGGTTTGTCTCGGAGAGTCCATCTGGGTCTTTCTACCCATCCAGTTCAATGTTTGGGAATTGTGGAGAATGATTACTCCAGCCTCCTGCCTTTTACAGATAAGGCTCCCGTTTGGAATGGCAAAGTCTTCTGTCAACGGGGCAGAGTATGTTGTGGTCGAGCCCTACTTCTTCCACCGCGCGAACCGGCGCCTCAGGTCCTGGGTAATGACCCCGAGTAATGACCCCGGGCCGTCCCCGGGCTCCGGAGCCCAGGGCTAGGCCGACGATTTCGCCGGTCCGAAACCTGATCATCTAGAGTAGACTTTACTCCTGTGCCGCCTGCTTCGGGGTCTCCCTGCGACTCCGTGCCAAGGTGAGGCACTCCGAGGTGCAGGTCCCCCCCCCCCGCGCAGACCGCAGCCGCCACCAGGGCGGCAGTGGGCCGCGGGGCTCGCGGCTCCCACCCACGGTCTTGAGTTCGCCACGCCGCGCCTCGGCAGGCAGCACGGCCCTGGGGTCCCGGCGACTCACTGCGAGGACATGTCGAAGCGGACGTCCCGGTCCTCCCAAAGTGCGTCCAGCACGGACATGGTGACTGCGGATCGCCGGCGGCCCGGGCCACACGGGCAGAGGCCGAGCCGCGTCCCGCCGGCTCCACGGCAACAGGTCGCCTTTATCACGACGTCTACGGCGAGCGCCGAGACCCAAGTTTACTCAACGCAGCGCGCGCTTTCCCCGCGGAACAGAGCGGACGGAAGGAGCCCTGGTGGCGCTGCGGGTTGCACGTCGGGCTGCCAAGGTGGGCGGTTCAAACCCAGTAGCCACTCTTCAGGAATTCTACCGCTGAGAATTACGATGGCTGTTGGTTTGGTTAGGTTTGGGCTAGATTTGGTTCAGTTCAAATATCAGCGCTGGCTTTCCCAAATCTTTCTCTCCCTTATCTGTGAGGTTCTTGAAGACAGGGACCTGAACCACCTTTTCCATCCATTGGAGCTGTACCCAAGAAACCTACTGCCATCAAGTAGATTCTGACTTATAGCGACCCTATGTAGGGTTTCCAAAACTGTAAATCTTTATGGAACCAGAAAAACCTCATCTTTCTTCCCTCAGGTGGCTGGGGAGTTTTGAACCATGGGCCTTGTCATTAGAAGGTACTCAATGAATCTTTTAGCATCACAGCCCAACTCATAGCCACTATTCTACCAGGGACCCTGTAAAATCTGAACCAACCGGAGGGAGAGGTTTTCCTACTTGCCTTGAGTAAGCCAGCTGCTGTGATGGGGTCCCTGGGATAAGAGGTCTCAATCCTTTGGGTAAGGACCTGAAGTATGCCCACAACCTGAATGGCTTTGGAAGCAGATCTTTCCCAAGTAAAACTTCTTATAAGGTCACCCAAACTTTGGATTAACCCTGGTGAGAGAAGCAGTGACTAAACTTCTGGCCCCCAGAGACATGGAGATAGAATCCGTTCTTTTAAGCTGTTGCCTTAGTTTCCTAGAGTGGCTGAAACAGATGACCATGGCTGCTGTTAGGTGCCTTCCAGACAGTTCCGACTCACAGTGACCCTAAGTACAACAGAACAAAACACCAAGAAAATGTGTGGCATCCTCACAATTGTTCTTAATTTTGAGCCCATTGTTGCAGCTACTGTGTCAATCTATCCTGTTGGAGGCCTTTTCTTTTTCACTACCCGTTCTCTACTTTACCAAGCATGAGGTCCTTTTCCAGGAACTGGTCTCTCCTGGCAAGTGGCCCTGGTGGCCTAGTGGTTACTGTTGGGCTGTGAACTGCATGGTGAGCAGTTCGAAACCCATCCACTGCTCCTCAGGAGGTAAATGAAGCTTTCTCTTCTCATGAAGCGTTACAGCCTCAGAAACCCGAAGGGGCAGTTCTACTCTGCCCTATAGGTTCACTATGAGTTGTAATTGGCTAGATGGCAGTGAGTTTGTTTTGGGGGAGTTTTGGGTAAGATTCAAACATCTTTCGGGGACTCTGATTTCAGCCAAGATACATCTCACATTAGCAGTGCTATCCCTTGTTTCGTGTCCTTTTCTGAATCCTCAACCTCTGGCAACTTGCTGTCCAAGGACTATTTAAGCTGTGGTTGGATGATCTTCAGTTAGATTTTACTGGCATGTCATATAAATAATATTGTGCTATGATTTGAGCATTGGCTCCCTCGTCTTTGGAATGGGTCCAACTATGGATCTCTTCCAGCCAGTTGGCCAAGTAACTGTCTTCCGGATGTCCTGGCATAGACAAGTGAGTGCTTCCAGTGCTTTATCAGCTTGTTGAAACATTTCCATTGGTATCACACCCATTCCTGGAGCCTTGTTCCTGACTAATGCTTTCAGTGCAGCTTGAACGTCTTCCTTCAGCACCATTGGTTCTTGCTCATACCCCCTGAAAGGGTGGAATGCCAACCAGTTCTTTTTGGTACAGTGACTCTGTGTATTCTTTCTATCTTCTTTTGGTGCTTCCTGCATCGTTCAATATCACGCCCATAAAATCTTTGAAGATTGCAACGCAAGCCTTGAACTTGTTCTTGAGTTCTTTCCGTTTAAGATATGCTGAGCAGTTTCTTCCTTTTGGTTGTCTAGCTCTAGTCTTTGCAAATTTCATGATGATATTTTACTCTGCTTTCTCAAGTTCCCCTTTGAGTTTCAGCTCAGCTCTTTTACTCCATCGTTTCTAATGTTTGCCTTGGCTACTCTACAATTAAAAGCAAGTCTCAGGGTCTGTTCTGACATCCACTTTGATCTTTCCTTTCCTCACTGTCTTTTTAATGACACGTTGCTTTTATTATAAATTAAATAATAATGTCTTGATGTCATCCCACAGCTTTTTCAGGTCTCTTCTCAGTGTTTAAGGTGTCAAATGTGTCCTCACATTCAGGTGAGATATACTCAAGGTCGAATTTTGGCTCTCATGGAGTTCTGTCCATTATTTTCAACTTCAACCTGAACTTACCTATGAACAATTGAAGACCTGTTCCACAGTCAGCCCTTGGCATTGTTTTAGCTGCTGATATTGAGCTTCTCCATCGCGTCTTCCCACAGATGTAGTCAATTTTATTTTTGTGTATTCCATCTGGAGAAGTGTTGTTAAAAAAAGTATTCATTAATAAAAAAGGTATTTGTGAAGAAATTATTTGTCTTGCAAAGTTCTCTCATGTGATCTTCAACTTTATTTCTATCATCAAGGCTATGTTTTCCAACTGCTGTTCCTTCCTCTTCCTCTGTTCCCAACTTTTGCATTCCAATTGTCAGTAATTATCAATGCATCTTGATTGCACAATTGATCAGTTTCAGCCTGAAGACTGGTAGAATTCTTCAGTTTCTTCAGCACTAGCTTTAAAGTGTAAATTTGAAATAATAGTTGTATTGACTGGATATCCTTACACGGGGATAGATATTATCCAATCACAGCTGGCATTGTATTTTAGGACAGACTTTGAAATATCCATTTAAATGATGAATGGAACCCCATTCCTCTTGACTGTGTCACTCTTGCCATAGTAAATCAGATGACCGTTATTCAAAACGGCCAAGACCAGTTCATTCCAGCGATATCCTAACGCCCAGGATATTGATCTTTATGCATTTCATTTTGACAACTTCCAATTTTCCCATATTCATACTCAGTATATTCCAAGTTACCTGGCGGCGTGGTGGTTATGCATTGCCCTACAGGGTTGCTATGACTTGATGGCAGGGAGTTTGTTTTCTTTATATTGCAGTTCCCATTATTATTCCCATTATTGGTATCCTCTAAGACTTTGACCCTGAGGCCTCAGGCCCAGTGACTCATTTCCTCAAGGTATTTGGCTATGTCTAAGAAGTTTTTATAATGTTGCCTCCTGTGTACATTACCACATTCATGTTTATATTTGCAGCAAAGATATATATTTGTGGATATATTCTCACTCTCCCACACCTATTCAGCGTGTATCCCTATCCATGTATCTACTCATAGATTGCAGCTATAGCAGGATTTATATGTGACAGTATTTACCTCTGTTGCTTTTAATGCTTGCAAATCTCCCAATGCCGTCTTCTGCTTCTCTCTTTGTTTGCTAACCTCTCTGTTTTTTTATTGTCTACTGCCTTCCCCTTCACTCAAGTTAACACCTGTCAATGTTCTAGTCAGTGACTTCCCTGTCTCTCCTCTCCCATCCCTGATAACCATTAAATCTTGTTTCTTGAAGTGTGAAAATGTTCTCTGGTCTTTTTACAATCGTGATCTCATATAAGATGGTTCTTTTGTGATTGAGTAATTTCACTCGGCATGCTATCCTCAAGACTTCCCCATGGTTTGAGGTGCTTCACGGATTAATCTTGATTCGTGTTAAGCAGTCTTCAATTGTGTGCATGTATCAAAGTTAATAGATTTTTCCCTTGATGGGATTGTAGGTTGTTTCCTTCTTTTTGCTGTTATTTTGAGTAGAGCTGTACTGAACACGGGTGTGCATATATCTATGCATGGGGGGCTTTTATTTCTCTTGGGTAGATACCGAGTGGAGGAACTGCCGGTCCGGTGGTACCTCTGTTCTCAACTTTTGAAAGACACTCCACACTGCCTTTCTGAGTAGTCGTGCCATGCATGTTACGGTCCTCCCAGCCACCTACCCTGTTTCCCCGAAAATAAGACAGTGTCATATTGATTTTTGCTCCCAAAGATGCGCTAGGTCTTATTTTCAGGGGATATCTTATTTTTCCATGAAGAAGAATACGGTACACATTTATTGTTTATTGTTTTGCTAAAAGAGACCTCGCACTTCCTGTCTGCTCCTGCTGCGCTGCGGCCCACAGTGAGCTGCACAGCAGCTCCTGCCACTGCTAAAGTCCAGAGTCCAGAGTTTCAGTAGCTTGGGGGGGCCTTATTTTCGGGGAGGTCTTATTTTTTGGGGGTGCCTTATATTTCAGCGAGAGGCAAAACTGTAAGTAGGTCTTATTTTCGGGGGTGTCTTACTTTCGGGGAAACAGGGTATGTGCGTTCCAGTCTTCCCTGCGCACTTACCGGCATCTGTTGCTTTTTGCTAGTTTTTTCATTTTGCTATTAATGCTGGCTTGAGGCAATAGCTCATTGTTGTTTTGATTTGTATCTCTTGAATGGCTAATGATTGAAAACTTTTCTTCATGTCCCTTGGCCACCTATAGATTTTTTCTTTGGTAAAGTGGCTGTTCATGGTTTCTGCCTATTTTCAAATTGGGTTATCTTTTTCTTGTTGAGGTATTGAAGTTTTCTACACATATGTCATTGCCAAAATTGTTTCCTATTCTGTGAATTCTCTGTTTACTCTTTGGGGGAGTGTTTTTTTATGCACACCAGTGTCTAATTTATAAGAGGTTCTAGTCATCTAGTTTGTCTTTTGCTGTTTGTGTCCAGCCAGTGGTTTCTAAGGAAACCACACTAATCCCATTCACCATACTTCAGTTTCTCTTCCCTAAACTTCAAGAGCTGACTTCTCTTTGCAATGATTCTTATCATTGACATTATAAAGCCAGATTATCCTAAAATCTTGGTCTTACATTTGACTAGTTACCTATTGGCAGGTATTCTGAATGATTGACTCTCACCTTACACCTTCTTTTATATACTTATCTACCTGGAT